GTACCTTTTTTTATTTTCTGATGATTATTATAAAGAAGTAAAAGGGTTTTTCACATTTCACAAAAATATTGAAAAAAAAAAACAAATTCTAAGCTTACAAATATTAAAATAACAAAACGATAAACCAATTTTAACATAGTTTCGTCACTTTTGAACTGGATGACTGAAAGAGACTGTATGAGCTTTCTAAACAAAACGCATATTTCAAAATTAAATTATGGAGAAATTATGTGTGAATTAAGCTCATCGCCTGTTTTATTCATTGTTTGTTGCAGGAAAGAAGGGACGAGAAGCACCCTCCACCTCCATGTCCTTCCCTGCTGTTGCGGCTGCAACGTGAGTGCATCTTATATTCATAAAAACTCTTCTCTCTTCCTGAGAGATTTTATTTTTTGCCACAGCATTTCTTTTTACACTGTACACGAAAGTACAAAAAGTATTCGAACATAACCTATGTGCGTGCTTTAATAGGTTATGTGAAGGCTCTATATTTCAGATTACTCTATTAAATTTTCGAATAAATATTCTTGGTCAGAAATGTACTTTAAATGTGTCAAATTTTGTTTTGAAAGAGAGGAAATTTTTAATTTTGGAAGGTGATGTAAACGAATGCCTCCTTTCTTGACGGGTGTCAGAAGTGTAAACATAAAAATTTTTCTTTGAAAATAATCATATTTCATAATTTTCTGTGTTTAGCCGGCATAGTTGTTCATATTTTAAATATCGTGTCAATAAAATTAGGCTGATTTAACGCTTTCTTTTTATGTTTGCATTCCGTTATTTTCATTGTATCGATTTACTGCTTTTTTTACGGTAGGAAAAAGTTTTTTGTTGAATTTTTCTAATAACATGCATTTACCAATTAGAATACCGAACAAGAATATTGTTGTATGAGTTATTACATAATAATGACGTGCTTTAATGGATGGATATTTGTTCAATAAATGAGACGGAGACTTTGTTTAGTATCACATTTATTGCAAAATAATCACATTAGAAATTACAGATATGTGAGTATTTAAATGCAGCCATCAAAAAACAACCAGACATTTTATTTTGCATTAAAAATAATGTCTTTATTAATGAATGAGCTATTGTTAGCGGTAGTCAAGCAATGCTGTTAATATATAGTTGCAATAAATGACGTTACTATTTACTTTTGTAACGTATTTACTGGAGATGAATGACGTCAAAATACTTTCACAAATGACGTGATAACTGCAGTAGTTTTTGAAATACAGGATGTTTCTCCCCCCTGTGATCTATTTTCCATTTTTTTTAAAATCGAAAACGCAATAATGTTCAATATAAAACAAATATCGAATCGTAGAATAACGAACCCCTGAGCTTATGTTCTATGGCAGAGTAGAACAGGGCTCCTTTTTGATTGGGCACTGTACGTTGGAGCTTTTGCTGTGTGTAAAATCTTCCATTTTCCTATTATTTTAATCTAAATTATTTATCATTAGCAGACCTGAAAGTAAGACTGAAATGAGAAAAAACCCATTTCTTTTTTAGATAATTATTGGGAATAGTAAATCTATTAATCATCATTCTTATTAAATTCTGCTCGGGTAAAGATGCCCCTGTAAATATGTTATTATTGTTGAAAAAAATCTTGGTAGTCAACGATAATACTCCTTCAAAATGCAAGCTAAAATAAAATGTCTTTCATACCAAATTTTGCTCTTTTCTGTCCTGATAAATATAGACTTTCAGCCCTGCTTATTTAAAAATCTCATTTTTAAGTCGTTTTCCTTATTTTCTGTAAGAGTATAAAAAATCGTCAAAATAAGAGGGGTATACGATTTTTAACGTTTACCGATGTAAGCCAATTCATAAAACGGATATTCAATATGAACCCTTGGCACTCGAGGTTCTCTCAACGGTTTAAAAAAAGAAACGGATGTAACACACCTGAGAATTTATCTTTTCTCTCTAGTAGTAGTAAAATGACTATCGAAATGATATCGTAGGCAAATAATTTTTTTACATTTTTCTAATACTTAAAAACCATATTAAAATAACTAGCTGATATTACTGCATGCTTAAACTATTTAAATGTTGTGGTAGCATTAATTCAAATGTCTTAAAACAGGAAATAAGCATGAATGCAAAAATTTTTGCTGCTACACATTAAATTCAAAGATAAAATCGCGCGTAGGAGTTGATGTGCGCACATAAAGTTTATTATACTTATAGGATACTAAATAAAGTGGTTAAGATGAAATATTTTCATAAATAACTGAGGCACACCTTAGAAGTGACTTCAGAAGATTCCATCATTTCCAATCCTAACTTGATTTTCACTTTCGGCAAAAATTTCGATGTGAGGTGCAGATTCTTTATATTAAAAAAATTCGAATTTCAACAAATCGGATTTCTGTCAAGCGTTTTAGATCAAATGGGGGGAGGACAGTTTTCCACTCATTGTAAGCTATGCGTCATTCATTAGCTGCCTTTCTGGGCATTTTCTTTGCGCATACAATGCGCGCTCTTTTGGTACAAAAATGTTAACACGTGCTTGAGAGGCACGGTATTCAGAATGCACACATAAAAGATCACTCAGTGAACTTTAGTTTGTCATCAAAATGACCGTCATCTTAATTTATACTAGACACATTTAATCATCGAAGTGTTGGGCATGTCTGTTTTAGAATGATGAATTTGTATGCGTTCTCATTAAACCCATCAAAAACAGCAACAATGAAACTATTTTTAACGAATTGTTTCCAAATTCAATATTATTCATTTTTCTAAAATTAAAATGAATATTGTTTATTAGAATGCAGGTTTATTTTTAAATATTCAGAGAAAACAAATATATAGAAAACTAAATATGAAATAAAAGAAATATTAAAGAGAATGTAGAAGAACAATAAGATAATAAAATTTTCAGTCATAATGATTTAAACAACTTTTAAAATAAATTATGTTATCAGTCCACTGGTATATTTGTCCTACGCATGTTCTTAAAAGACTGCGTTTTTTGACGTTTTTTATAACATTATTACTAATGGTTAGATGCCGAGTAACTGGTTCAATACTTTTGTGAAGATGTAAAGGACAATGAAAGATGCTAATGGCCATTCCAGCATAATGTTACGAATCGAATGGCCTTATATATATATATATATATATATATATATATATATCTTCAAACTATGCTCCATTAATTGCAGTCAAAATATTCTGTCCGTGAAANCCTTAAATGCTAATATATATATAAAAGGCCATTCGATTCGTAACATTTAGAACAGGTGCGTAGTTCTTTACTCCTTCTAAAGTATACATTCCGGGGTCAGCGTTTAACCATTTCTGAACGATCGAAGAAAATTGGTTTTTGCACTAGAGGAAATAAAATTTCCTCATTTGAGATGAATGTCGGACAAAAGAAATCTAAAAAAGGCAAGAGAGTTGATATAATATAAAAGTTAGATTTAATAGGAACAGATTGTCTGAGAAACTATGGATGATTTTAGAATTGAATGTTATGGTAGATGTAAATAATCAAACTGAATATTAATTTTTTGAAGGGAGCGAAACTTTAAAAGTTGTTTAAAGTCATTAAAACATTGTTTGAATAAAGGATGCATTTATATTTCAAGCTAAAACGAGATTAAGAACTGGAAATTTGTTATTTATCTAAGAAAATAAATAAATAGTACAAAAACATATAAAAAATATAAATCATTACACTAGACAATACAAAACCAAACCGAATCAGACAAACACAACATAAAACCTTTTTCAAAACATAACTTCTTTTATAATTAATATATTTGAATTTTTCATGTTTCCGATTAAAATGGCGGGATATTTTTCGTAACCTTAACGTATGGCACAAACGCATATAAATTTGTTTTCACACTTTTGCATTTGATCTCAATAAATTAAATACGTTTTTTGACTCATAAAAACCAATTCTCTATCAGTCACTAAAATAACACTACTAGATTTTTTAAATATCTAAAAAGTTATCATTTTTAAAAACATCATAAAAAGCATTCATAAAAAAGAGGACATTAAGGCTGTTTTTTGAACTTCTGAGAGTCCCGATTGGAAGGAAATAAGCTCGTAGAAAAAAAGCTCTTATTTTGTTCTCGTTGCACTACTTTTTTGAAAAGGGATGATGGAATTTGACGGTCCAGTATTTTAAATGTTTAAAAATATAAGTAAATATTTACTGAAGCAAAAACAACGAGAATAAAGCAAAAATAAAAGTACATGAATGGAAGATCGGGGCTTTATTCATGTTGTTTTTTGCTTTAATCTACATTGCACAAATTATACCTTTGAAGAAAGTACATCTTCTTTTTTTAAAAAAAATTTCCTATAGAGCTAGATTTTTTTGTCAACAGGGAAATTACAATTAAAAAAAAAATATATATATTTTTCTCAAATTTTGCTTATTTTTATAAATTGCAATAAATACATTTTCAAATAAACTTAAAAAATAAACCTTAACTATAAATGCTAATTTTAATGGATGTTGAAAGTTAGCTTTAACTGCATTTTCAGCACAGAGGACAAATTCTAAGCTAACTATATAAAATACTGAAGAAATCCAATCACTCAAATGTGACGAAAGAACAGCTCAAATGTGACGAAAGACAGCTTAAACAGTGCTTTTCGAAGCTCTTTCGCAAACAAGAAAAAGAAACACAGTTCAAGTGCCTCTGGCTCAAGAAAAATCTAATATTTTAAACTATAGATACCATTTGGGCCCTGATTCGGCATGAGAAATTATCTGGTCTTCAGAAAGTAATAATAATTTGAATATTTTTAAAAATCGCCAATTCGGCTAGATTCTTTGGCAAAATTGTCAAAATCAATGATCCAAGGTGCTGCGTTGGTGCTGCTTTTTATTTTTACTAAACATTTAGCTTTTCTGACATTTTAGCAGTGGTGGAAGATAAACGAACAGTCATATAGCAAAATCACAACAGTTATAAAAATAGCGTTAGAAAAGTGTTATTTTTGTAACGTTTAGGATCTTTAAAAAAAACAGCCTTAAATAATGAATGAAGAGGTATTGGGGGACTGCAAAAGAGTTCGTTTCACCAAACAAAATTAATCTCGCGAGTATGCGTGATTGGAATAAGGTCCGGAGTAGATGGATGATCCTGCCGTGGATGACCCTTTCCTCCTTCGTCTTCGATGGACAATGCAGGCGACCAACAGGATGACAGCCAGAGTAAGGAGGATACCCGCTATAGCGATGCCGATGGCGAATTTTCTGGTCGAAACGCAAAACTCGTCGTCAGAGCGAGATGACAAAGAAGTGGGGTTTTCTGTCAATGAAAAATTTGAAGAAATGATTTAACTTTTTATGTTGATTGAATATTAGAAATTTGTGCAGTTGATGTGTGTGACGTTAAAATGATTTAAAAGAGTAATAATAATAGCGATGAAAATAAATAACCGCCTCTATTTTACAAGTTAGCGCAATTCTTCGTTTTCAATCACTTCTTTCTCTGAATTTTCAGTGTGCTGGATTGTCTCCCATAGTATTTGTAAATGAAATAGGCGTCTTATGCTTGCGTGACTTTCCTGCTCTCCGCACTTTTCTCCCTCCATCACCATCGTTCCCTACGGCAATATGTTTCTACAAGAATCGTATACAAGTAAAAGAAGTTGGAGTATACTACTAGAATGGGGAAAAGGAAGATTTCATGGTCAAGTTGAAGAGAAAAGTGTGGGGTGAGAGGAAATCAAGTATGCTTTTTTGATTTACAAAGAGTAAAAAAGTTTTATGCTAATTCATTTCCAGTTTTTCGAGTGGATTTTACTTTAAATTTAAACAAGTCACAAAATTCATTGCAGTAAAATTTATTTTTAACTTTAAAAGGCCTACCCTATAGCATAATCTTTCTATGTTTAAAGAGGTAACAAAATGTAAACTTTAATGTCTTTATCTTATTATAACTAGATTTATAATGATTTTCATTACCATTCTATACAAATAATTTGAATAAACGGATGTATTTTAAATATAATTTTATCCACGAATAAACTAATATGAAATCGAATATAAAAATTCGGACATTCACCAAAGCGACTACGTGATTGTTGACATTCACCGGTGAAAGTCAACATTCAAATTTTGGTCATTTAGGGTAACATATACACATAAATCCCAACGAGTTCTATATTTTTTAAAAAAAGGAACTGTTTTTCTAAAAGGTGCACAAATAAGATAAATTTTATTTTCATCATCATCTGAGCGAATGAAGCAACTTTTTCCCCCATCCATTTTGATGTGAAGATGGTATTTTTTAGTGTCTGGAATGCGCAGTCTTCAAATTGATTTTGATTACCATTATATCGAAATAAATAAAACAATTATATTGATAGTTCGGTAAAAAATTTTTTGTAGTGATTAAATATATAAAAAATTGGAATTTAACTTAAATACACACTTTCATCAATGTCCTGCGAAGGCTTACCAGTTTCATCGTCCAGTTCATCGGCTTCATTCACGTACAAACCAGAAAAGACTTCGACGCTGCGGTCTTTGACGTCTCTCAAATCTTCAAGGTTTCCTCTGTCTTGTACATCACCGCTCTGTCTTTTGCGACGCCTCCTGCGCACGTTGTTACCCAGGTCATCACAGATGGGAGGCTAAAAAGAAAGAAAAAGTGAATTCTCTGCATAAAATATCGTTCTTTTACACTAGACATAGATCATGCCTCAGAAAATGGACACAGCATTTGATTCCGTTTTACAAATTTTTCTTCTGAAAGAATAAACTTATGGATCCAAATAAATTCGTCATTCATTGCGATGTCATCCATTTGCCGAAATCATTTAGCACATTTTATTTTTCAATAATCTGTTTTGAAAACATATTGCACATCAAGAGTTCTTTTTATAGGGTGGTCACAAATTCATAATAGTGGTATTAAATTGACGTTGTTCGAATTTACAAATTTTAAAACCACGTTATGGTTATAGAGTGTTCTGAGTTGCCTGAAAGTTGATCCCGATGTTAGGGACTTTGCCCAGTAATGATTGAGGTTAAAAAAAGTTCTTTGTTTAAATGTTAAATTTGAGTTGAACATTTTCTTATAGATGCGCATTTCGAGATACTCCCTGAAAAATAAGCTCACCGACAATATGTTACATTTTTTGAACTCTTGCGAAGAATGGCGATATTAATGAATAAATGATAAAATTGAGGTTAGCTTAATTTCTCTCAGTGACTTTTGTGAATTGAATTAAAAAAATCTATCCGAAAGAAAGTTTTTCTCGTAGATTTCAGCTGGTGTGCTTTCTGACGTTCCTACGAGTTTTATAAAGTGGTGACAACTAGGAATCAAATGTTGATATTTTTATATATTTATAATCATCGGAACATAATATTTTCTCAAGGAAATAGATCTTTACCAGAATTAAGTTTTCAGACACCAAAATGTTCTTGAAAAAAGAGATTTAAAAAGGGGAGATTTTTATGTAAACATTACTGCCAAAAAATTATAAGACCCCTGGAAACCCTGATTGAAGCAAATTCAATTTTCTGCTGTGAGAGGGGAAATAGTTTTTTTGCAATGATTTTATTCTTTTTGCTATTGCCTTACTCTGCCATGTCTTTTTACGTTACACACACACGCATATATATATATAGATATAGATAGATAAATATATAGATAGATAGATAGATTCAAAGTTATTGCAGTTGGAGTAGGCAGGAGAGAGCCAGGTACCTCGTTTAAAATATGCAGTGCTCAAAATATGGAAAAAACTATATTAACTACAGCTAATTTTTAAAAGTTTCATATTTGTTTTCACTACATAGTTAATACACTTAATATGTAGAATTAAACATCAAAAAATATTTGATGTTTTAAAACGTTATAAATTTTTAGATCTGTATGTTGCATGTTATATACAGTGCGCAAAAAAATAAACGAACCACCCTGTATATCTTTTGATCCAATAATGGTATCCTCACTTTTTAGGGCTCAATCTTTATGGCTCAAGGGGGAGACTTCAAATATGCTAATTAATAAGTGCCGACGATATTTTAAGTTACGAAATCAGACACAAAAACGTACTTTCTCTGAAGAAACGTGCCTTTTTTCCAACGGATTCGGGCTTCTGCCACCCAAAATATAGGGGTTAGCCGCAATCTAGGAAATATGGTCCCCTTAGTTTGGCCAAAAGAGCGATCCGAAAATTTGACCCCTCAACGTTAATTTTACTTTTTGCGTATTTCGCCATATCTCGAGAACTATTTAAGCCAATTAAAAAATTTTTGCTCACAATTATAAAATTCGTTTCCTCGAAGATAATTGAATGCAAAAAATAACTTTTAATAAATATGTACTATTTTTTTAAAATTATTTATAATCGAAAAAATTTTGAACTATAAGATGCACAATTTTTTACATAATTTTAAAATTTTTAATTTTACATGGCAAAACAAAAAATTTGAGCTAAATCGGTTAAATAATTCCTGAGAAAATAAATTTTATAAATACGACTTTTTTAAAATTCGATTTATCAGCAACTTTTCAACCTATTTCACGCAAATTTTGTATTTTGCTATGTTAATTTACTTATTTTAAAATGATATTAAAAGTTTCATACATTACAATTAAATNTATATATATATATATATATATATATATATGTACAGAGAGAGAGAGAGAGAGAGAGAGAAAGAAATCAAGAGAAGGATGACTTTCACCGGTGAATCTCAACAATTACAACATAGTTGGTTTGGTGAAAGTCCTAAATATTTGCTATATCCGATTCTATGTTACAAAATTCATATTATTGCATTTATTCCATATTTTAATATCTGCTTAGGATAGATTAGGAGAAACATCAGTGAGTACCGGTTAAATGCTTACTAGGCAGTGGCCTAAACTAGACCTAGTAACTTAACTAGACCTAGTATATATTTCGGACATTTGCCAAAGCGATTGTCAATTTTCACCAGTGGAAGTCAACAAGCACACCCATTTCAGTCATTCGAAACAGCATTTTTATGTATGTATTCTGGTACTTTGGTGCAATCGATGTGGCACAATTGTGGGTTTCCTTCTTAAGAAAGGGAAAAAAATGTGAAATGCATAATTAACTCACTACTTCGTCGCATCCACCCTCCCTCTTGAGGCACAGTTTGACGTTACACTGATAGTAGACGGAGGCGGTGAAAGGGAACTTGTGAGCAGGATACGTCACTTGGGCAGTGGTCAGATCCTTTGAGTATTCTAACGGACCCATGATCTCCTCATCTATGGGACAGCTTTAAGCAAAAGAAATAAATAATGTAGTGCATTTGAAAGTAATAAATGAGCAGCAGCTGGCAACTTTTGCGGTTAAGCAGCAAACATACATAGATCCATAATTTTTCGCTCAGACATACAAATGGTTGACCAGTGGCGGATCCAGCGGAGGAGCCCCCCCCCCCCCAAATTAAAAAACAAATTTTTTTCAATAGTTTATAAAAAAAATAAAATATTTTAAAAATTATTTGAGGGGGCATATACACCTAGGTAGGTCGGAAAAATGGATTTTTTTCCAAGGCCAAAGCCAAGATTTGCCAAAGTTTCTAAAAAACGCATTACATTTATTATTTAAAGATGTTGAATACTTGAATTATTTATGTATTGTTCTATTGTTAATTATGACAAAAATGAATGAAAAGACTAGCATTAAAAATCCCAGTTTTTTTCTTTTTTTCTGAATCTGAGTCTATGACCTCCCCCAGGAAAAATTTCTGGATCCGCCCCTGTGGTTCACGAAATAATGTGAACACTTAACTCTAGGTAAAAAAAAGAGTTTTAGTAGCAAATGCTTTGTCAAAACTGTTGGCCCAGTTTGAAAGATCATGATTGAACCTTTTTAGAAATTTTATCATTTTTAAGAGAGGAAAATTTGCATCGAGCGAAACGAGAAAAAGGAACTGTTTTTCTAGCTTTAATGCCAGCAATGTTTAAAATTATTCCATAGGATTGCGATATTTATATAAAAATTCTTTTAGACTTATTATTAAAAAAGGGAAAGAAGCTTTAAATTTTCATTTCGGTTGGGGCACATTTTTCATGCGTAAAAAAGAACATCATTTCTAAAAGTTTCAAGCATGATCTTTAAAATTGTGCCAACAGTTTTGTGAAGTAAAATATTCCAAAACATTTGCTGCTAATAGATTGTTTACATAGAATTATTATAGATGTGTTCGTATTATTTTGTCACTCAGCTGTATGTCTGGATTATTTATGCGAGGTTTCATTAAAAATATTAATCAAATTCACTTCCATTTATTGAACCCATAACATTAAAAAAATATTGATCACAATTATTTTTCTACTCGCGGAAAAATATTTTGTTAAATGCGTAACGATTGACAGCAATTCATAGTAAAAGAGACGAATTAATTTGAAAATGGGAAAAGACGATGTTGAGAAGATTAAAGGAAGGAAGCAAAATAGATTTAGCAATGAGTAGTGTTGCTTCTTCCTTACCAATAAAAAACTATATTATTTATTTTTAATAAATATATGTTTTAATCTATTTCAATCACAGTCATTACTTTTACTTATTTTTCATTAGAAAATATTGAATGAGACGTTATGTTAAAGGCTATCCTTTTTTTTCTTGTTAAATTTAGAAGGATAAATTTCCACACCACACTGAATCATCACTCGCATTTTATAATCCCTCAATTTTTTAGTGACCTGTAAATAATTCAAAAAGAAGTAGTTTCATCTTTGAAGTTACTTGAAAAGAAGAAAAAAAAGCACGCTCGACAGTTGTAAAACTGTTGGCGACTTAAATTGTTAATATTTATTAGAAGATAAAATATCTTGGCTCTTTCAGAAATGGCCAAATTCTGTTATTTATTTTCAAATTTTCAACTGGTCATCACTGCACGTAATGCAATGAAAATGTTTGCTGGTATCAATCCAAATCTTATCTCCTCGTGACAATTGCTATAAAAGTTAGAATATCGGCAACTGATTATTTATAATCTCATGCTTCTAAAAAACGACAACAGAGTTTAAATACTAATTTAAAATTCATAAACATGTTTTACTCTATACTATTTCATTCCACATTTAAACGAAATTTTATCTATAGTATTCTTTTAAGGGGCAAAAACTTTAAAAAAAAAATACGTTTCATTACACTGTTATAAACTTGGCAACAAAAATGATTTTTTTTGTGAAGTGTGTGTTGTGAAAAGGTGAGAAAAAAATTACCCTTCGTTGTTGATGAGTGGCTGTTCAGACCAGCTGAGACCATCATGAACAATGCAATTTGTTACTTTGAGGCCGTAGAAATCTAGAAACAAAACATTGAATGCCTTTAATAAACCCTTTTCATGATTTGAAATAGAATGAATGAGAATCAGCTCAATACAAATTCTGTTCCCGGCTCAGATAATATGAAAAATCGAAAATGTTTCTACATCTTGTAAGAAACAAATTATGCGGGAGAAATGACAAGTTTGTAAATAAACAATTAATGTAGGGCTAGTATGTCGAGTTACTTATCACTCAAAATTTCTTTGTAAATGTTGTGATACACTTTCATATGTAGTTGTAATGCAAAACACTAGACGATGCAAATTAAGATATTTATGGATTCTCAATTTGCTGTTTAATTGCGACAAACTTTCTTTAAGGAAAAATGCTTGAAGTAATGATTGATTTGTTGGCTATATATTATAATAGGTGTCTGCACTAGCCCTTTGCATTAACAAATTAATGTTAGTTATTGTATTAGAAAAGGCTGAGCCATAATTAAAGATTTGAAAGCAATCTTCTTAAATTACTTAAGTATCAAAGTTTATTTAATGGATCAATTAATTATTTATATATATATATACACATACAGTTAAGACAAAAAAGAATAAGAGAGATTAGCGAGAGATAAGTTTTATTTACTGCGCATAAGCTGCAAGCACATAGATCCCATAAGTAAAAAATAGGAATAATACAAGGAAAAAATGTGCAATTTTTTTTAGAGAGAGAGAGAGAGAGGAAGAAAAATTAAAAATTGAGTGTGAATGAAATAGAATTAAACCTTGTTTGTCGATCCCGATCACCAAAGTGAGGTAATCTCCAATTTTGACGTGTTCTGCAACCACGTGATTGTCCAGTCGACCACTGTAGATCCTCATCGAACAGTTAGGCAACGGCGGAAGTTTGGGAGTTTTTCCACTCGGACTACATGAGTAATATAAAAACACAAGTAAAGATCATTCATAAAAATTTACGAAGCAGTAACAGAACGAAAGCTAATAACGATGCTTTAATTTTATTCTATAAATTATGCTAACACCTTTTTAAAACCATTGTTAAGACATTACAAGTTTGACAACCTACGTGTCATTCTAACTTGGAACATTTTTTTTCGAAGAGCTTTCTTTATAAGGAGTCCATTGAAATATATATATAGTTTACTTTATCAATTGAATCTTCCACTTATTTCCGACTAGAAATTCAACACAAAAAGTTTTAAATTTTAAAAAATACTCCTAAGGAATTAGCTTTTTCTGTATTCATAAAAACTATTCATTTGCAAACATGAATATTTTTTTTCTCACAAACCATCACGTTCGCAAATTGTCAGAAAAACAAAATTTTCCGACTCTTTTCAATGATTTTATACGGATTTAAATCATGTTTAATTAATTATTATCTTTTTTTTTTATATTTACCTCCCTGATTGATTATTCATATTCTTAAGCATTAAAGAATAATATAAATCCATGTAACATTTTTAATATTTATAATTAAATCAAAAGTATATTAATCAGTCAATATAGCATAAAAATGTCGATTTTACACAGGATATTCAGTGCAATACTTTTTTATAGCTGCACCAGATGTAAACATTGCTATTTATGTAACTATTTTAATATACTGTTTTTTCACATTGGTTTTTGTCTTTCATCATCACAGAATACTTGGTCTTTATAATTGCATTGGTTATCACACTTTTGTTAGGAAATTCTTTTTATTTTTGACACATCTCGAAATACGCGTTTGAGAGGATGGATTTGGCAAAGCAGCGCCTTTTTAAGGTTCAACTCAAATGTAGCAAGAAACCGGAAATTTTATACTTACTTTTACGTTGCTTTTGTTTATTTTTGAAAACTAAGCAAAATCATCAATAAGCTCGGGGCTAAGCCTCCGACTTAAGGGCTTGGGTATGCTACAGATGTAACTCTTCAGGTATCTCTTCGTATTCGGCATACTGAAGAATAAAAAGTCCGTTTTATTCTTCAGGTCCTTTTTTTTTTTTTTTTTTTTTTTTTTGGCGCACTGTACAAACATTGCGAATGTATTCAAATTCATCAGTTTCTTCTTTAAAAAAAGAAAATTTTTCAAAAAGGGAAATTTGACATAAGTACTAAGTGTCCCGTATTTATAATGAAAAGACAGTATGAATGTCATTTAACATATGAGACATTCGAGAAATAATTTTTCCAGCAGAAGTGAACTAAAAGCAGAAAGTTTCATAAAACTTTTATCAGAATTTAGTTAGTCTATTTTACCTTTTATATATTTGCTTAAATTATTTGCAAAATTCTTTTGAATCTAAAATATAAAAATAGTAATACACAACCTTTGCTACCACTGGGAAAAATATTCTCATAAACTACGGAAATTTCGAAGAAGTTGGAGTGCTTACATGTTCCCAACTTAAAAAACATATTTTTATTTATTTCAAGACGCATAACTTGTTTTTCCCAAACAGCCATAAAAAATCGAATTAAAAAACTGTTCTAGAATTATTTTTGAATTAAAAGATTATTTTCTAAAGTTGATGGGTGATTATTCTTAGAAGTATACTAATAAGAAAAATTCCCAAAAATTCCCTGCAGTCTATATGGCGTCTTCCGTGAAAATGAATCTAGATGGTTAAATATTCCTTTTTGGATGCCATTCGATTTCGTTAGGGATTGTCTGATGGCAACCCTTCAGCCGTGGTGGCTCAGGGGATAGAGCGTTCCCTTCCACAGAGGTGAACTGGGTTCGAATCCCAGCGATGATGGGTCGATTCGAATTTCGCATCCAGTTCGCATCGACCACAGCACTTGTATAAAATAATGGTAAACAGATCAAAGGTTAGAGACGTCTTGACGTCAGGCTCAACATTGAAGGATTTTTGTGGTTTTTTTCTCCATGTTACGCAAATACGGGTTAGTATCATCCAAAAGACCACCACGAAAACAAATTTCTCCCAATGCTTGATCCAGGAGTTCATTTGTCTTCTGGATTAGATTTAAAATGACAAGGCTACGGAGTAGAAGTAAACCCATCATGAGGTCGGTTGTTCAACGACGGTTATAAAATAAAATTTAAAAAAAGGAAAAACCATTCCTTTTCAAAGCCCTTAAATGAAAAACGGTATTGAGCAATTTTCCGTAGCCTTTTCATAGTGTAACTGTCAGTGAGATGACGGTTCGAATGGGATCCTGACTGGGCAAACTTTTCGTTAAAGAATAAGCACTTAGTTAAAAAAAAACAATTTGTGTGGGAAATTACTTGTTTTTCTTACAGATAAGATCATTTATTCTGAGATATGTTTCGACAAACATCTAAAAGAGGCACAACAGGAAACATCATCGTGTCTCTATGAACCGGCACCTTTCATTTATCTTAATTTCATGTTTTCTGAAAATTATTCTCGAAAATGACTTTAAGATAAACCTCTTTTAGAGACGTCTTTTCAAAGAGGTTTTCGGACGTGAATGACCGAAAAGGGTGATTGTCGACAATCACATAGTCGCCCAAATATAAGTGCCCGGTATACCTTACATCAATGTCTTTTTAAGGTCACTGCCCGCTTTGCCCTACACTCATGTTTTCTTAAGGCACGGTATGTATTTGTCCGGTACTCCAAACACTGATGCTTCTCCTAATCTCTCCTCAGCAGATATTAAAACATCGAATATATATAATAATATCCACGTATAAATTAGTATCAAATCGGATATAACAAATAGTTCGGACATTCACTTAAGTGATGGTTGACATTCTCTTGATTTCGGTCATTCACGGTGACATACTCACTTTTGACTCACAGAAGTGGATTGTTTGTTCTGGTAGCGACAACGAACAGTGAAGCCCTTCCCTTGGTTGGTCACAAGTTTTTGATGGGGTTGGATCACGACTGTATTGAAAAACTCCAGCGTCCCTTCATCCTAATAAAAAAACAACAACGTTATTATCTAAAAAAGCCTTTTCTAAAAAGGTGAAGAAAATAAATAATAATAAGGAAAATAAATGCGTAGAAAACATTAATGTAGAAACAAATAGCCTATGAAATCCCCTCACTAGTTGTCTAGAGCACTATTGGTGAACTATTTCAAGGGTTGTGAAGTAAACGCATAGGATAATTTCAGAAAGAAATATTAAAAGCTTTGAAATGCGATTTCATTTCTTTTTATACATTTTCAATGCAGTGCACTTACGTTTCGGTACTATACAGATGATCTTTCTTCAATGACGAGACTTAAAAGTGTCTTCTGCATTTGAAGCGCTTTAAAAACAATTCAGAAATGGCCCAAATGATTTCAAGAACAACAGCGTAGAAAAGGTTGGGTTGTCATATCGTTTATATATATATAT